GGCCCCTCTGCACATGCCTCCCCCCTACCACCGCCACACTTCTTCGCGTTTTTATGTGGTCTGACTTTTTCAGATTTTTCAATCTGAAGCTTGCTTTCTCGGGGACTGATACTATTCAGCTTTGCGTTCTCTTTTTCTCTTTCCATGGCCCTGCTCAGCTCAATACTGCCCTTGTGACTGCAATTCAGCATCCTCAAAAATAGGGGCAAGCAGAGGAAGGGGCTCAGGGTCCCCATACACTGTGTGCAACGTCCGCTGTTCCAGTGAGGGTCAGAGAGTATGCCTACCTACAGGCAGAGCATCCTGTTCCGCTCCCGGCTCCCTTTTCTAGATAAAACGACCCAACACAATTTTACACTTGCTGCTGAATGCGTGGTCATTGTTCATCGACTCATCCATCCTCCACCTCATGTGCCCGTGGTCTCCAGCACAGACCAGTGTTAATACTGCCGCAGCCTGCACCTCCACTGCACTGTACAGATTTTAGCTTGACTAGAGCTGAGGATGAATCATTTACCTCCAGGGTACCCGGCTCCTACAGAAGACTTGGTTTAGGACTGAAGGCTATATTGCAGCCTGTACTGGCCTTAGTTGCAGAGGGATATTTAAGGATGGACTTACTAGAAATGCTCTTCGTATTCCAGGAAGACACAGCTCATTTTCTCTGATGGGCCACTGTGGCCTTGCCATTTACTGGAAGCCCACCCTCTGAGCAAGTCTGAGAGATTATTCTCAGTCTAGAAGGAGTCTGCTGTCCACTGCAACAGCCTTGCTGGGGAGACTCAGGCTTTTCTGGACTCTCCCTTGGCAGTGCGTGAGGTCCGTGGATCTGCCCTAACCTTGGTCCCCCAGAGTGCCTATAGACACCCTGACATGCTGGAGGTTACTTCCGAGGATAAAGCTTTCAGGCAATACACCGTGCCCGTGTCACGTTCCCTGTTCATTTCAAAATTATCCCTCAGGTTTAACTTGATCTCATCTTCTCCACTGTTTTCTATAAGGGCCCTGCTCATTCTCCCAAGACTTGCTCTCCTCTGGCTGTGAAATTATCCTTAACCCTGATGTTTTATTTAATTAGTGTCTAAGGAGTTAGCTGATAATTGAGGTGGTGTGAGAGCTTGGAGTTCTTGCAATTAATGGCAAATCCCAGAAGACCAGAAAACCAGAGAAAATGGATCAATAATGGGGAATGAGAACTCTGTGTGTGTGTGTGTGTGTGTGTGTGTGTGTGTGTGTGTGTGTTGAACTCTTTAGGGTTGGTGCATGGTGGGGCGATTACTGTAACATCAGAGTGGAGAGTAACTAGAGTGTGTGATTCAGTTGAAGCATGAGACCTGAACTGGCTTCAGCACCAGGCTCGGTCCTCATGCTGTGTGTCTTTGAGCAGGTTACTTAACCTATCTGTGCCTCACTTGTGTCATCTAAAAAATACAAGAAACATTAGTATTGTTTTGCACAGTCTGTTACAAGGGTGGAATGAATTGGTACTGGTAAAGCACTCAGAACAATGAGTGGCACAGAGTAATACATGTTGAGGGGTTTTTGTTGTTCTTGTTGATATATTGTCTCAGCACCCTGTTCTATTTTTCACATGGAGGGGATAAAAAAGTCGTAAGAGAGCCCACAAGAAGTAGTGCAAATTTTATTTTATTTATTTTTTTCCTTTCTTATTTGTATAAATTTAAGGGCTACTGGTGCAATTTTGTTACACGGATATATTGTGCAGTAGTAAAATCTGGGCATTTAGTGTAACTATCACCCGAATAATGTACATTTTACCCCACATAATTTCTCCTCCCTCACCCCCTGACACCCTCGTACCCTCCATAGTCTCCAGGGTCACTTACTCCATCCTCTGCATGCCTGTGGACACATCATTTCGCTCCCACTTGTAACTGAGAACATGTGGTATTTGACTTTCTGTTTCTCCGTGGTTTGGCTTAAGATAGTGGCCTCCAGTTCCGTCCACATTGCAGCAAAGACATGACTTCATTTTTTTATGGCTGAATAGAATTCTTATAGTGCAAGTTTTAATTCATGAGCAATAATTCATGTGATTAAATGCTGCTACAGGAACCACTGTGAATAGCAGCACCTTGGTGCAGTTACTCTCCCTCTCTAGGTTTTGACTTGATCATCTTTTCTCTCCAGCTTTAGATGTCTAAGTGGACGCAGGGTGAGTCATGGCCGTGAGTCAGGGCTCTATTTTTACCTTCTGGGGATGGAGGGAGGAGAGAGAATATGTACCTGAGAAAGATGGTGCGACTGTGCTTTGGCAATGAAGTGGGAGCTGTCCCTAATTCTAAGCATGCTCTGTTGTACTCTCTTCCACGGAGAGCCAGATGAGGCACCAGGGACGTCTTAGACACTGTCTTTTTTTCTTTTTTTTTTGAGACAGAGTTTCGCTCTTGTCGCCCAGGCTAGAGTACAGTGGTACAATCTCGGCTCACTGCAACCTCCGCCTCCCAGGTTCAAGTGATTCTCCTGCCTCAGCCTCCCGAGTCTATGGGATTACAGGCACCTGCCACCAAGCCCGGCTACATTTTTGTGTTTTTAGTAGAGACAGGGTTTCACCATGTTGGCCACGCTGGTCTCGAACTCCTGGCCTCAGGTGATCCGCCTGCCTTGGCCTCCCAAAGTGCTGGGATTACAGGCATGAGTCACCATGCCCGGCCTTAAACACTGTCTTGTTATCCAGCTGGGATAATTTCCAGAGGTGGAGAGGCTTACATGTCTGTGCAGTTGGGGGAAGAAAGGTGGAATAGGCAGTTTTGTGCTGAGAAAACCGAGATGCAATTGTAGCTGGAAACTCTCATGACTAAGACTGACACAGGGTCCCAATGGAATTGTGCTAATTGTCATCTTGATCATCTTTCTTCAAATATCTGTTCTCCCACTCTTATTGTTGGCACCTGCTTTTACTCCATGCAGCAAGGCACTCTGTGATGTGATTATATTTTCCAGGCTTTCTGACAGATAGGGGAAGCTAATGAGATAAAATTACTGGGAAAGTTTGGAAAAATATTAGCCAATCCTCCTTTCTCTATTTTTGTGCATGGAACGTAGTCTTGATGGCTAGAGCCCTAGCAGCCATATTTGATCTTAAAGAAGAAAGGCACATACTAAGAATGGTGGAACAGGCCAGCCACGGTGGCTCACACCTGTAATCCCAGCACTTTGGGAGGCTGAGGCGGGC